TAATATTTTTTTTACTTCATAAAAAATATTACTGGTCTATTAATGTCTAGAGGTTACTATCTTCAACTTTTTTTTATCTCACAAATGGTCAGTTTTTTGACAAATGTTCGCTATAGAGAATTTCGGCTGCATCTACAATCAACACTAAAGATTCAACTCTAACCAACAATCAAGTCCGGAAGTCCTACGTTTACAATCGACCCACATCAATCAACATTTAATGTCTACAATCAACACACAATATTTAACATACTTTATCTACAATCAACAATCCAAAATACTACAATCAATCCAAAAATTCTACAATCAACAATCCAAAAAGATCTACAATCAACAATCCAAAAAAATTTACAATCAACAAACAACATTTAACATATTTGTCTACAATCAACAATCCACTAAGGAATATCAGCAATGCAACTCTAAAAGGTCTACAATCAACCTTTTTTTTTGTAATCAGCTGTCATCATTTAAATCTATACTAACTGCAATCAACATGAAAATATCTTCAATCAACATTTAAATATCTACAATCAACATTAAAATATCTACAACTGACAATTCTATTGAAAATTTGAAAAACTGCACTTAATCTTTAACGATCAGCAATTAAGCTCCCACTACCACACGGTCTTCGTAACCCGAAGAACTTTGATTTTTTATCTGACCAAAGATATTATTATGGGAATATTTTCTACCGCTACAACTATGACAACAACGTCGCTAACATAAATTCTTTAGGGCAAGCTGCTAAACTTATAGCGCCACAGTAAAGAACTTCAATACGTTTTGTTGCGGAAAATCCAGCAAAATCAACATTTTCAACCACCCATTTGCCATTAATTTTAGTCTCCAATTAACAATAATTAAGAAAGCAAAACGAAACGACATAAAAAGAAAGCCAAAAAATAGGTTCGATATCTAATTTCCAAACAAAGTATTATTATTGATCAAAAAGTACAACAACTAAATTTAAGTAATTTAATTGATAATATTTTCACAATATTTTCCTGAAATAATATTATTAATTTCTAAATTACACCTTTCAACGAATATGAATGAACTATGAACTGAAAGCTGAGGAAGTAAAAACAAAACAAAATTTATTTATAAGAATTATAAATATATTTAATATCTCTTTTATTTAGAGACAAACGCGGGCCGTATCTCATCTCACCTTCAGGGAGAAAGCAATGCATGCGCAGGTACAGCCCGAAGGTGATTACATTGAGGACGTATATGTAATCCTCGACGAATGTATGAAAGACACAATCGTAAAAACAAGCAAGCAACGTCGAGCTGAGCAACGCATTTACCAGCCGGATGTGATATACAGAAAAATATGTTAAAAAGGCCCCTTAGATCTAATAGATGTAGGTGTTTAGTTGCTAAGTCCCAATGTGATATTAGTTTAAGTTGTAAAACCTTAAGTACTAAAGATATTTTTCGTTCGATTCAACCGATAATGAAGCTGATAAAGATTAAAGTACGAGTTTAAACATCGAAAAGTCAAGTAAGATAATTAAAAAACGACACCAATTTATACAAGCGCGAATAGCACGAAAAACAAGATCAACGTTACAAACGCAAGTGACAGGCAACCGTCAAACCCACACTACAATACAATGCACATACGTTAAGGCATAGGAAAATACCACATAAAAAAGTCGACACAATTGTATTGGATTCCGGACTCGGAAGATGAAACCAGTACGGCACCTGTGGACAGCCGGTTCTACGCACCGGAATTGACCCAGATTTTATCCGGTCAAGGGCTGTGTTTTCGGCGATTTAACCCCGTTTGGATTGGTGAGTAGTAGCAGCAGTCTTGTGCAGTGCCAATTAGGTGGCGAATAACGCGAGAGCTTACGAAACGAAAATGCGCTCGAAGATTTTGGAGCATCGCAAACTACATCAGTCGGTTGTTATGAGTAAACGTGGCTTCCAGCCGACAAAACTGCTGCTCGGCGTCGATTATAGCGACGATGAGAATGAAGATGATGTTGCCAAACGCAGCCGTGGGAATGTCGTTGCCACCTCATCTACAGAAGTCTTTCAACGCATACAGTCGCTTGAGAAAAGAGCTGCAGCGATCTATCAAATTCTAGCTGATATCGATGAAACCCTACGCGAATCACATGAATTTAATGAAAAATATATATAAAGGTTAAGTTGACTGCTAATGCACAAAACGAGTTCGATTTGAGAAATACTGCAGCACATAACCTCAAAATAGCACTATCGCTGGTCACGGCGAAGTATTTGAGGAGGCTGCCCCTACGAAATCAGCTTTGACGTGCACAAAGGATGAGAACTTATGAAGGCATGTGTGTGAGCTAGTTCCTGAACTTACGAAAAGCTCGCACATCGATGGGGACTTATTGATGGATATGGACTATAACAAAGACGAAGAATAAGCAAGCAGAACGGTCGTAGAAACTAAATCAGCTAAAATTGAAGAGGACCTATCTTCCAATCAGTTCTCGACGGAGTTTTATGTTTTCGGCGTTGCTAAAGAAGAAGTAACTGCATTGGAAGAGCAAACGTTGCACGACAGTCGGGTCTACGTAACCGGAACGGTTATCTGGTTGAACTCGGCAGAATGTGCAAAAAGTTCGTGCTAAAAGCGAGTATGCTGTCAATTAAATTAAATTACTTCAACTAAACTTCCAAAATCAACTCAGCTTAGCTTATAAGAGAATGAAGAGGTATACATACGATTTCTTCATTATCCTTTATTGAAAATAATCAACAAATCTAACCGACTCTGGAATATGATATATTGAGTTTTTAAGAGAGAGAGAGACAACTTTGGGTGGCAAAAAAGGTGCTGAAAAAATTAGTAAAGAAATCGTACCGACCCAAGAATGTAATATTTTGAAAGATGTCTGTTTTTATAAGGTTAAGACATTAAAGGTCTGTTAAGAAAACACACGAACAAACTTATCTGAAGGTAGCACTGAACCTAAGGATGGTCAATTGCATGGCGAAGAAACCTCCGAAACTATATGTCTTGAAAAGGATGATCTGGCAATTATGAATGCTCAAGAGAAAGACATTGCTGGTACCAATAGTGTAGAAGAAAGCTAGAGTTCTGACTTAGATGAAGAAAAAAGGGTCAAAGCAGAAGACCATACAAAGGATTTGAAAATTTTATTGAAATCAGTTGAAGATATGGATAACGGTTCTATATTACAAGGTGGGACATTCACTAAAAGTGTAGATAAGGGTAACTTAGAAGTTGGAAATATGGATACTTAAGAATAATATATTTTACTAATAAAATTTTTGAAAGCGAGGAATTGGGATAATCTAACACGACCCTTCAAAAATTACGTTGATCAAAACCGAACACTAATTTGAAAAACAATACTTATATAACGTACGACGTGCATTCTAAAAAGTTACATTAAAAAAGTCCATCATTTGCTGATAAGGTTAAAAAAAAACCAATAACACTTACGACTTAAATTTTAAAACATTCATTCGATTACTCAGTTTTATATTGTATCATATATTCCGTACAATACTCCCATTTGACATCTAAAAATTTTTGAATTGGTCTTCAGACAATGGTTTCGCCAGAATATCGGCTAACTGTTTATCTGTATGAATATTTTCTTCTTTTTGCCGTAGACATTGCTTACATGGTTATAGCCAAGTTTACAACACCGCGTCAGTCGTTCTTCCTTTTCTTTTCGCTGTTTGGCGCCGATTGGTGATTCCAAGCGTAGACAGGTCCTTCTTCACCTGGACTTTACAATGGGGTGGAGGTATTCCACTTTCTCTGCTTCCCCCGGCGGGTGCTGCGGTACTCTCTGAGCTGGATTGTTTTCATTCATTCGGATGATATGACCTAAATCCTTGGTTCACCATTTCCTGGTTTTATGCTTTCACTGCCATTCAGCAGGTTGGAGAAGTGTTCTCTGCATAATTTCAGTATGGTCTAGGCATCACATGCTGTATGAATATACTCAAGTTTAATTAAATATTTTCAAATTTCTCTCTAGATTATTTTATATCAATATGTTTTTATTCTTTTGGGAAGAGTTATTTGCATTATGAAGTCAAATCGCTATTAGTGTGTAGGAAGACTGAACCGCCTATCAGTTTGTAATCGTTTGTAATCTTGAGCTAGGCAACAAATTAGAAGTTACAGTCTAGCAAGGTTTAGAGATAAGACTAACCTCCCCGTGACAAATTCCGTCTCCTTGTCCAAAATCCAACATATAGTCTCTTCTTCAAACTGCCGGTATTTAGACTTGAAACAGGAAACTCCAAAAAATCTGATTCTAGATTGCCCAGTAATTTGTAGAAGCAGGCTCGAGGTCATAGAATCCGTTTACGTACACAGGGATCACATCACTTCAGTCCCGTCCAGCAAGCTCCTGAAAACATGTAGAGTCCTGAACCCTTGTGATCGTATATGAGGGTCACATTGCAAAACCTCAATTATTTTTCATCTTTCTATCTATCACTGCTGGCCGCAGTAGCTGGGCAACAAACTCATGCGTCAGCAGAATATTGCAATGTAAATAAAGGATATGGTAACATTCCTGAATTCTTATAAGTCAGTCGTTTTTTATTTTTGCAAGGTGGCGCCAATTGCAGATTCCAGGCGAAGACAGGTTTTTCTAGCCAGAGTAGCCGCTGTCTTTTAGTTCGCTGAACTATGTGAATATAATTGTATATGTCGTACAGCTCATCGTTCCATCGAATGCGATATTTTCCGTGGGCAATACACAAAGGACCATAAATCTTCCGCAGAACGTTTCTCTCGAAAACTCGTTATGTCGACTTATCAGATGTTGTCATCGTCCATGCCTCTGCATCATACAGCAGGACGGGAATAATGAGTGACTTATAAGAGTTCTGGTTTTGTTCGTCGAGAGAGGACTTTACTTCTCAGAACTAACGGCGCGTTTGTTA